AAAAAATTGTTCTAAATTTATAGGGGCAATCATTTGCGTCGTTTTTTTTTACCAATTTCAGGGAAATTCTTGCTAAAAATTATAAAAAAAAAACTTGGTAAAATTACGACTTCGTTCCAATTACCTAATATAATTAGCAAGTCTAGACGGTGGGCGGGGCTGAATTACCGCGCAGTTAAAATAGAAAGATTACCTATTGCTCACGTGAAATAGTTGAGAAGAGGTTGCGTAATGCGTGACATTCAGTTTAGCTCAACTAAGCGGACATGATGGCTTATTTAGTGGTTTCCAACCTTTTATGGCTCGCGGCCACCTTCCGGAGGCTTTTAGTTCTCATGTCCCCCTGTTTGTCATTACAGTAATATTTTTGGCGCTCTTGAAGTATGTGCACCAAGATGGCGCAAACCTGAATCCCAACCCAGTACACATACTATGTTCAGGTTGTGCGCCATCTTGGTGCACACACTTCGGGAGCTTCATATTTTTTGGTGTTATTTTTATTGGTATATTCCAAATCCCATTAGGTTCAAACAATTTATGCTCAGCAAAATAAATACACTGTGAAATAACTTGGTCGAGCAATGAAACTGGGATATTGAGATTTGAGAAAAACGCCCCCTGCACGTTTTTAAATAACAAATCAGTAATTATTCAGATACTAATTAAAACGAGTTTCAGATTTTCGTTTCACAGAAATACACTCGCGTCAGTGTGTTTATTTGATTTTCAAATTAGACTCAACATTTTGTATTCAAAGCTTTTGCTTGGCATTTGTATTCGCAAGTCAACCAAAATTTCAATTTTCTTCGGTGCAAGGTATAATCACGCAAAAGTTTTTGAGCGATTTTCAAGCAAAACTTGCGTAATGCGTAGTAGAATTTTGCTTCGCGTAATCGCTACGTTGTGGCTTTTCCTTGATTATATTGAATTTAATTACTGGTTGTTAATTATTCATGTCGCCGCTGTAATAGCCAATTTAGCTATCTTGTGATACCTTGATAAAGAGTGTCTGAAGAAGCCTGATTTCTGTACGACGTCAAAATTGCGTAATGCGTGACATAACTAAATTTAGCTTTAAAAAGAACTTTAGTTCGCTACCTCGTGACTGTTTTCTGTTTGTACTGGCTTGAACTGCTACACCTACACTACACGGAGCGTGACTATTGGCATATTTGCGCTTCATGTCACTTGGCCATAAATCTATATCGTTTCCGTGAATTTTATCATTTCAAGGGTCGCCCGTAATTCTGCTCAGAGATCAGTCTTTTTTGTCAGTTATTATTTTGAATTTTCCACTTGTGAATTTTCCACTTGTTTGATGCTGGTGCTCACGTGATCAACGACGTGATATGTTTTGATAGTCTACATCTATAGTCAATTTCCTTTTTTCCTTTGTTACTATTTGGACATAGCTTTGTCGTTGGTTACTATCAATTAGGGTTATCAATCAATCAATCATCGTTTATTTTTCAACATAATATAAACGTTTTTTAGTTTATTTATTCAATACACCTGCAGGTGCCAACAAACCATATACAGTATCAATAAATTTCCTTTGCAATAAAAATAATATTTGACTTTATGAGCACCCTGTATTATCCTAGCCAATTCATTTTATTGTCTGACATAATTTGGTGATTTTGTTTTAATATCGCAATATTTAATTGACAACGAAATTCCTCTGTGAGCATGATTGGTTGTTTGAGCGTCTGGCGGGGGTGTTGCCAGGATGGGCGTCGATGGACGGAACACTCCACCCATAGCTTGAAACGCTTTTTAGACTTTGAGACTCTTGAAAACCTACGTACCCGCTAGCAGCTGATACGGTCTTACGTGACAATTATAAATTTCAGACGCATTTTCAGATTTTAAAAATTATTGGCTATAGGTACCTGGCGCATGGCTTGACAATGTTTTAATTTCGGTTTCAACTTTCATACCTATAACCGCACCAAGGGCGTAATAAAAAGTGTAGGCAATGTTGCATGAAAAGTCATCAATATTTCCATGGTCCATATGCAACGCTTTTTTTATTATTTATAGTTACTTTTATGATAGCGAGCATAATTTGTACTAATAAAACATTCAAATGCCAAACTTTAGCTTCTGGAACATTCATTAACTTACGGTTGGCAATTTTATGGTCTCATGAATATCCTGCATTATTCGATGCCGTTTTCATTTAAGTTATTGTCTGACCTATTTGATAAATTTGCTGTATCGCGTATTGCAATATTTAATTGACTTTTATTCCGGTTTTGCGTCATTCCTTTATTAATCGATGACAAGTAATTTATAACATACATGCTCGCCAAATTAATCAAATGTATAAAACAGGTCATGACCCGACTCATAGCGTATGAAGGATTTTTTTCGTGGAAGTATTACTTGTTGTAATTTGTGCAAAAATTTGGCAAAAAATTATAATTAAAAGAAACACATATTGACGAGTATTATCTCTTTGCCTGAAATTTAATGAAACATACAATTTTGGCAAAACGTCATAAAATTCAAACAAACAAAAAAATGATTTTGCAACGATTCCAATTTTAAAATAAGATGATATACGTCACTTTTGGGCAACAAATTAAAATTTTTGCAATGTAATTGATTAATTATCATGATTTTGCACTTTAATATTAAGGATATTCGTATTAGCGTAACATTTCAATACCGAAAAAGTTAGCGACTGTTGTAAGCGCGATGGCAGAGTGGTTGAAACGTTGAATGCGATTACATTTCATAGCAATTTTTAAACCAGAGGTTCTCAAACTTTTTAAGCCGCGCCTTCTTTTCAGAATTTGTCAAGTCTCGCGCCCAACATAAAAAATAACTAGCTAACAATAAGTTGCAAATAACAGGTAATAAGGTAAAACACGTTGAAAATGCGTAGATGGAAGTTGAATAATGAAATGACTGAAAAGCTTTTTAAATTTAAATATCCAAAATAAAGCGGGCAAAATCAAATTTAACATATATTTTTTATTTTTTAACCCTCCTCCTTTAAAAAATTGTCTACAAATCCCGTTGTGGGGCGCGCTCACCATTTGTGAGCCACTGGTACAGACTTCGTCGTCGTCAAAAAATCAGTTTTTCTTATGATAACTCTTTACTTAATATATCCAGTCTCTCCAAATTCAAATTGATTTTACAATACAACCTTAAATTGATTAAAGAATGTCAAAGCGTACTGTTTTAGAGCAGGGCTGTGCGACCTGCGGCCCGCGGGCCAAATACGGCCCTCAAGGAAAAATCGTGCGGCCCGCGGAGAAGTGTCAATTTTGAATGGTGTGCGGCACGCGAAACGAGTTTTTGTTTTAGGTAAATTTGGTATGTGCAAGGAATTTCAATTCCTTTACGCTGCAAAGATTATACCTGAGTCCAATTATACCATATGCCTATGACCTTGCAATGCCCAACGGTGCTCCAGAAGTATGCGCACCAAGATGACGCACAACCTGAATCCTAACCGGTACACACACATACTATGTTCAGGTTGTGCGCCATCTTGGTGCGCATACTTATGGAGGTCCGCCCCAGCAGCTAGCTTGTAAAAAAAAACGCATGTCACAAGATCAATACCCAAAATTTTTGTGCCTGCGACTACTAGATAGCTTATGTTAATGTGCGACCAGCGGTTGCACCCAGTTATTTTTATCTAGCCCTCCTGTATTAAAGGTTGCTCACACCACTGCTTTAAATAGGCGAATATTAGATTTGTCTACTTTGGTGTCCGACTGCTTTTTGAGTATATCGTTTAAACAAAATTGACGTACATTTGATATCATTGAACTAATAAACTCTCCAACTATTTTCAAATGTGTTCCTCTTCGAATTCACGATGAAAGGAAAATTACAACAAGGCAGTAATTTTCTTATTTTCCCGATCTTTCGTAACTTTGTTTTAGTGTTGTTTATATTTGATACAATATTGAAATGAATGGAACAGTAATTAATAACTTGTATTTGCGTAACATAATACAATGTATTGGCAGAAAGAACAAAAATTGTAAAACACCAAATATATCGGGGAGATCAAAATTAAATTGTATTAATGACGATGGATAGTTTGAAAAGTGTATCAAGAAAAATGTCACAAAACATCAAAATTTGTCTGAAGATTGAAATGAGATTGATTGTTGGAAATTCTCATTATTGACAGATTCAAAATCTTTGATTAAAACGACTTTTTTCTGACTATCTGCATATTAATAATTCAAAATTATGCTTCGCATCATTCCAACATTGTAAATGTAATGTATGGCAACTATCAGTTAGGGTCAAAGGTCATCCTAGAGCTGACTATTAGTTTTCTATGTTCAGCAAGCGTCGCGTGTGCTTCTGTATCCAATATAATCTGTGTGTAATGTTTTAAATACCAATTACAAGTTTTTGCAATACAACATACTAAATCGTAAATCAGTCTGTCAGTGCTATTAGAAGTAGCCAGATATAATATAAGTACACAACGTAGCAGAACATAACAATAAAGAGAATTTGTTGACACGGTATATAGTCAATCGGCCCTTACAAGTGTATTAAGTGAAGTAAAACACTCAATAATAAACACCGAATAAAATGAAACATACTGTAAAACCATGAAAAAAACATCAAAACCTTGCACAAAACGTGCAAGCAAACCTGATTAATATATATTGAGAACTTACTTCATACCAAACTTTAAATTGTAACAGGACTGTAAGAACACGTTGGATATGCACATTCAATCAATGCAATACGTAAGCTTTTTATGGACAAAACGATCATGACTTTGATGAAATTGCCTTTGTATTATTAGACGTATAAGATGGACAGCTTGAGTTTCCTTAACAATGATAGATCGCGAATCGTTTGTTAAACACGACTCTTTTCTGACAAATTGCACTATTAATCATTCTAAATTCTTCTTCGCGTCTATGTAAAGTAAAATCAATTTTTAATCAAATTGCATTAATCTTTCAATTACAATATTTTGACTTTTTTATTCGCCTATCTTTCAGAACAAGGCCACTGGTGTAGACAAAGATCTACATTACTTTGGAATGATTGAAGGAAGAAATTACCGGTAATTGTGTATTTAGTGTCATTATATGACGTTGCATATGCATTTCGATTTCACCATGAATACTGCGTTGCATAAGCAGAAGAAGAGCTACACGGTTTTGAAAAGATCCGAATCGGAAAGAATTTTTGTTGCCTTAAAGAGGAACATTTTTATGACAACTCTTTCAAATGTCGTTATATTGCTTGTTCACCGATCTTCTTAGCAAATTCGTTGTTCCACATTTTTACCATATATTTGAGCATTGCTCTCTTGTTTCTTTCTAGATCTCTACAGACTTAGCAAGAAAACTTACAACTAAACTCGCGACAATGAGCAGTTTCTGAGAGAACGCGTTTTATGTGCATTCAACTGAACAGGGCTTTGTACAAATGGCCGCTGCTAGGCAACGATCTGCATTATTTGGGAAAATTTCGAATTATTCAGATTCGGAACTGCCCACTCAATTCATCATATTCTAGTTGAAGTTATGAATATGGGATGGAAACCCGAGATTTTAATCGGTGTACACTTCTGTCAACTGGGTTATTGTACATCTGCCAAGCGTGAGGAATGCGCTTCCCATCTTTCCAGTTTGGCCTAGGCAAATCAATTTATTAGTGAACCATGGTGAAATTGTTGGCATGGATTCTGAACCTAAGCTTTCAAGGTGACATGTTTTATCATAGTTTGAAACGCGAAAACATTTTTGCCAAATTTTATAGGCATTGCAGGTATACCCATTTAATCGATGTTCAATCGATGTTGCGTGAGCAATGCGCTTAAAATGTTTCAAGTTCGGCATAGCCAAATCAATTTGTTACAACCTTGGTAAAGCTGTTTGTATGTATTTTGAACTTAAGATTTCAAGCTGACATGCCATCATAGCGAAAGCCAAATTTAGTAGACATTGCAGGTAGGCATTTAATCAATGTTGCGTGCGAGCAATGCATCTTTTAGGTTCGGCCTAGCCAAAGCAATTTATTCCAACTTTGGTAAAGCTGTTGGCGTGTATTTCAAACCTAACAAATCAAGCTGACATGTTATCATAGTTTAATTAAAACGCAAAACGTTTCAGCCAAATTTGGGAGGCATTGCTCAGGCCATGTGCGTAAATATAGCTAATTGATTGAACGCTTTTGCGTGAAAATGTTTAATGTTTCAATGGAGAAATGTGCTTTGCAATAAACGTAATGTTCAAAGTAAGAAGAATGGTTTAAATAGAAGAATTCGCAAAATTGAGTTTGTAGTTTCTGAGAAAAACGCTGTATGATTTGTATACAATTTCGATCCTTCTACCAATTTGCTAATATTGAACACAAAATGTTTGTTGGGTCTGTTGTAAAATTGTTGTTGTTGACGTATATAGGTTTTAGCTGTTTAAAAATGATTCTACGTCCTATGACACTGGGTACAACTATTTTAACATTCCATATGACATTCGGTACTTTTTTCATCATTTAGCAGGAATTTTTATGATTTTCATAGTGCTTTGTTGACAAAATAAGTTTCGCTTTATGAATTTGCTAATATGGTACACCAAATGGTATTTTGATAATTTTGAAAAATTGTTGTCGTTGATGTGTATATTTCTAGCTGTTAAAAATGATTCTACGTCATATGACACTCGGTACAGCTATTTTACCATTTGCAATAATGCTTTGTTAGCAAAAATATGTTTGGTCGTTTTGTAAAAATATTGTTGTTGTTGAAGTATTTAGGTGCTTGTTGTTGTTGTTGAAAATTAATGCCTAATTAGATTCACATTTACAGTAATTGAAAATGAAAGTAGCAACTATAGGGCTTTAAATTTTTTTTATTTTAAATCACCCGAGTCCTAAAGAGGTATTTAACTATGACATTCAGTACAATTCTTTTTATCAGATTCTATTTGCCCAGAAACAATAGAAGAAAAAAATTTCTTCATAGGTACTTTTTGTGCATAAAAACTCATTTCTCGTTTATTTCATTTTAGGAGAAATTGTTTCGCGAATTTTTAACAAAAGCGTGTTATATATAACTATTAATCTGTCATATCGGTTTTCCGTTTACCATGCGGGATAAATTTAGAGAAAAACACAATTTTATTCACAGGTACTTTTTGGACATAAAAACTCTTTTCTCGTTTATTTTATTTTGAGGGGAATATTTTTCGCAAATTTCTAGCAAAATCATTCGTTTCCTGTAAATTAAAGGGAACTTTGCACGTGCGTAAGTGTCGCAATACATTAGGTTTGACATTTGTTTGGCGTAGCAAAATTAATTTCACTTAATTAGTTACGTTTAAACGTTGCGTTAACACGGGTCACGATTTCTGGGAGAAATGAATATCACAAATTATGCTAAAGTTCGATTTTAATTAGTTTTAAATTTTGCAACCTTATGCTGCGTTTATTCATCAAAAAGAAATATTATGTAAATGTGAGAAATTGAAACTATTACACTTTCAGTTAGTCATTGTTTCTACGTCAATAATATTTTTCCGCTTCAATGTGGTTTGGAATCATTTTGGCAACGATTTGATTGACTTTTTCACTAAATTAGTAAATATAACAAAGATATAACCTGATTTGAGAATGTGTAAATATTTTTATAAATATGCGAAGCTTATTAATGCATTTCGATTTCAAAATGACATTGTACGCGTTTCAACTTATATCTGACGAAAATTTGATTTCCGTTTCAAGTCTTCCACTTTACATTATCAATCTTGTAACATATTTCTCTTTATATAAGTGTATAGTTTCCGTTGCTTTTTGGCATCTTAATGATTATCTATAACCAGTAGTGGGATTCAGCAGGTTCGCACCGGTTCTATAGAACCGTCTCGCGGAATTTTATGAAATCAGCGAACCGGTTGGCATTACTGAGAAAAACATGACTTTTTGTAACAGAACCGCCTGAAAAATATGACATTTGTGTGATGGAACCGGCTGACAAAAAATTTGAATCCCACCAAGGCCTGTAACCCATATTTTTCACCCTATTTTTACTTTTAAGTGCGTGCATGTGGCCTTTCTTCAAGCAAATTTTTTTTCTTCAATAAGCCTAGCCCAAACCAATTGAAACTTAAGCAAGTTCATGCATTTTCATTTCTTTTATTTATTTTAGTATGCTCACGCTATGGTGTCGAATAACGCACGGATGATATCAATGGCATATTATCAACATTCATACAGACGCCATGACGCACATCCATCATGTAGATTGTAGACTATAGACTCGGCACATTTATATTATTGGAAATTGAAGATTTGTTATTTTGGCAAAAGGTTTGCACGCCGGATATTGACGACAAATAACAAGATGTATGATTTATTTCATTAATCATCTTCTGCGACCTTGCCACACCGGAAGGAATCGTCTGCTTTTAATCGTCATGAGTACATGTGTAAAATTGAAAGTTTTTACTTACTTAAGCTAAAGCCCGAGAAGAGAATACTTTTGAACATATAATCGTGTGATCCTGACTGATGCATACTTTGCATATGGTATGGTATGCATATATGGCAATTCAAATTTGTAAGCATCATTTAATTTAATGAACGTTGTATTGATAATACAGGGTAGGGCAAAAAAAAACTCTCGAATCCTATTTATTTAAGGTAAAGCCCTGAAAGAGAATACTTTTGAATATATAATCGTGTGATCCTGACTGATGCATATTTTGCATGTGGCGGGCTAATAATGAGTATACTTTATTTCATTCAATGAACTTTTTATTGATAAAACAGAATAGGGCAAAAAAACTCCCAAATCCAATTTATCCATGCTGAAGCCCTAAGAAAGAATACTTTTAAATATAATCGTGTACTATTTCTTCACTATGAAGAATACACATTTGAATATATAATCGTGCACATTTTACTACTGCATATTTTTCATACGGCGGGATAATATTTAGTATACTTTATTTCATTCAATAAACTTTCATTGACTATACAGGGTAGAGCAAATAAGATTCTGTATCCTATTTATCTAAGCCTAAGCTTTAAAGAGAATACTTTTGAATGTATAATCGTGTACCTCTGACTGATGCATACTCTGCATATGACAACGCAATATTTTTCAGGGCGAGATGAGTTCTAATAAATTCGGGTAAGCAATGCCAGACTCGGAAAATTACAAAATTACAATTTTAACACGTACTTCACAGTGGTTTCTTATTCAGAGATTTGTTTTGAGCTGACTCATTGAACTTATTGGATTCTCAGGGTAAAATATACCAAGCTCCGCTACCACACCCGTGAGGATGCAATAAATTGAGTAGGCAATACCGAACCGGAAGAATTCCGACGCGGCGTTGTGGCTCATCGTGCCAGGCGTTAGGAATACGCTCGCAACCGCATCTCTGATTACTTTGCGTGGATTCGCAGGTTCGAATCCCATGCGGGGATGATCATGTGCGAGAGGATTGCTGGACTCCTCGCCGTCGTAGGGTGGTTCACGTAACCGCTGATCGGTTACGGCTTCCTCCACCATCAAGTCCATGCTTCCGACTGGTAACCGGACGAGAGGCCGTGGTTCGCCATATGGTTAAGTCGTCTTATCGGCTTTCCTCTCCCCCGGGATAAATATGTGAATCCTATCCTATCCTCCTATGCGACCTCGTCACACAGAAAGATATTGTCTGCTTGAATCGTCATGAGTATGGAATCATCAAGTAAAATGGAACGTTTTCTTGTACCTACGGCCCTAAAAGAAATTGATATCACATATTAATTCTTGTATGCATGTACAATCGCGTACACCTGCCTGGAGTATATTTTGCGTATGACAAATCTATATAAACTATTAAATGATAATATTTAGCAGGTGCGATAAGTTGGGCAGTCAACGTGGAACAGACTATGGTAACTCTTTACCTAGTGGAATCGTGCACAGAGTATTGTTTGTGGCGTATAAAAACTTCGTATTATTAAATAACCTGATTCCCCTTCTAGAAACTTAGGATTGATAAAACTTTATGGCGACCAAAATGTAATTAAAAAACACAATGACAACCGATACTCGATTTTTAATTTGAATATTATAATGAGCGTTCAAGGGGAAATTTAGAAATATTATGGTAGGATGTTTTGTTGCACCGGATATTTGAATATGCTGCTTCGCGATGACGTATATAGCTAATGACGTCATATCATGAGATTAGAACGTGACATACACAGTTACCTGGTGAGAAAAATATCGCAGTAAAACATTCGAAACAGAATTATATATAAAGATAATTAAACTCAAAATCCGATTTTTAATTTGAATATTATATTACGAGTTTCGAAACGGAAGCTCATGCAAATTGAAGAAACGCACAATAGAGTAATATGCTACGTAATCGTCGTGGAAAGTACAAGTGTAAAGTGTGTACATATCAACATGTTGATGGTTTTCAATTCACCTACGGCCTTAGAGGAAAATGATGTGGCATAATATTGTTTGTATATTCGTGTACATCTGCATGGTGTATATTTTGCGTATGGCAAACTAATCTATAATAAGCTATTCAATGTAGTTTGTAGTTGATTTTTACCTAGTGGAAGCTCGCACAGAGAATCATTTGTTGCAAAAGACGAACAAAATACTTCGTATCAATATAATAAATCTGAGTCGTTTTTTAGAAGCTCAAAATTGTTCATAATGATAATAGTTATATGTCAGCCAACTGTAATACCAAAATGCAATGGCAACCAATACTCGGTTTCCAATTTGCATATTATAATGACTCGAAACTTGACTTTTGATTTGAATATTCCCTTACGCTTCTCCAAACGGAAGGTTATACAAAATAGGGAAACGCAAGACGGAGTAATATAAACCGTAATGCCGAATACTACGATAAGACGTACATATCACATGACATCATATGACATTTACATGGCATAAACAATTCAAATTTATTCAATTTTTTTTTAAGTTTTCATTAGGTAAGTTTCTGTACAAACATATATGGCCTATTTAGGAACTTTGCTGTTTGAACGCTTACTGCTTTCATGATTCCCCCTTGTCTTCTATCAAAAGATTCAGTTTTGCTCTTGAGGCGTTTTCATCGGTATTCATCAAGTTTCATATTCAAAGGTGAACAAAAACAAAGGAATAAAATCATTACGGTCAAAGAATGTAACAATTTTACACTCCATTTACTTTGAAGGAATGTCATCACTGCAAATGTACTTAGTGAAGGCATTATTCGTGGCCCCCAAAGAACCTGTCCTTGGCCCCATAGAGGATCCAAGGGCCTAGCTTCGAAAACAGTAGGCTGGGAGATCAAAAATATCTGGTTATCGAGCATACTTTATTGAAGCCTGACAAAATTAAAGCTAAATCGTCAAATTGTATATATATATTATTATCTAACCGAAACAATTGAGAATCGAAAATTGCTTATTAGCATACTGTCACATAACCCCCGCCGAAGATAAAAAAGTTAAAATTAAATTGGTCAAAAAAAATCGACAAATATTCAAATTTAATTTAATTTATTTAATTTAATTGAAATTTTATGAATATTTGTCCTGAGCGAAATACATTCAATGCGTAGTGCTTGTGATGCAATAAATATTTTTTCGGTTTTATTTTTCAATGTTTATATATTCTTGTAGTATACGCTTTTTAATCAAATATTTTCAAATAACTAATTTTAAAATTCAATTTCGAAAGCGAAAATCACAACTTTGAACATACATTCTATATAATGTGCATAGTATACATTCTTGGAATAATGTACTATATCACGCAACTTCGTAGAAGAAAACTAGAAAACTGAAAAATGTAATCGAAAGCGAATGCAAGTTATTTTAACAAGAAAAGAACTTCAGAAATAATATATTTGTTAATAAAATCTTAGTTTAGTTTTTGTTCTTGTTTAGTTGTCTGGATAATTTGCGGTTACTGGAAGTTATTTTATTTTATACAAATCAGAATTCCATCTCATGCCTATGTATTTGAGTATCAATTTGTTTAACTATCCGGAGCCATGGTTTACACATAATTAGTTGTTCCAATTTGTCGCAAAAGAAAATCCACTTACTAAACGATTACTTTTTTATTTGTCCCTTTTCGCTACGTCACAAAGAAAGTGGTACTCAATCTTCCTAATTTAAAATTTGAGCGTTCACATCCAAAATTAATAGGAAAAAGATTTGTAATAAAATTCTTCCAATATTGAATGAAATTTTTTTTTTTCATTTTTTTTTATATGTCCTCCATTTGCATAATCAAAATGGCGACACAATTTTCTCATTCGCTATAAATCGTCATCGGTGACATTTTATTGAATCAGCTCATCGTATTTGTCCTCGTTCATAGAAATATAAAAGTTCAATTTATCGACCTACCGAGTCATTAGTAGCATCCCGTGCTTTATCACGAACTGTGTGGGAAGTTACTTGACCTCGCCAATACCGGAAACTAATCAATTAGTCTTGGCATAGCAAGGAATTTATGTATTGTATAGACAAGACATTCGCAAACTACAGCCCGCGGACCAAATCCGACCCGTTGGGTAGTTCAATGTGGCCCGCCCGATGCTGTGAAAACCAAACTAAATAAAGATTTTTATGTTGAGCTAAAATAGCTCGAGGAATTCGTTGAGATTGAGATTAAATTTAGTTTTGGCACGAGGCTCATTGTTGTCCAATTTTGCTTTTGTAACAGTGTAAATAGATAAATACTTTAATATAATTTTTTGGTTAAAAACGAGGATTAGCGTGATTTGGATATGAAGCTTTCTAATCGATGAAAAGGTCAATTGAAACAGATTCAACACTTACCTGTAAACAACAAGTTACAAATAAAAAGAGTAATGAGCTCAAAATATGAATATTTAGTTTAAACCGCCATTGTGACTGTTTTCATTGATTGGGTATTAACTTGCCCATTATCGATCTGCAAAAATTCATCTCGTGGCACAATTTTTCAAAACAGCCGAGTCCCGAGAATATTTCAAAGACAATTTTAATTGTTGATTATATAATGTTCTCACCTAATGTGTTTACCTAATGTGCCAAAAGTGTTTACAGATTTCGGTAAATGTTTATGAAAAGGCTATTTACAATGATTGACAATTATATTTCTCAATGATGGCAGCTAGCCACAGCAAGATAATTTTTTTTTTTTTTTGAATTTTGATTTTTTTTTTTGATTTTTGAATTTGAATTGAATTTGATTTTTGAATTTGAATTGAATTTGAATTTTTGAATTTTGAACGATGCAGAAGGATTTATAAATTTTTGTATCTTGTTAATTAAGTCATCAATTTAATCCACCAGATCAATTAATGAAAGGTGGCATCTTTTGAGTTACTTTAGAGCTTTAGAAAGAAGATGAATATTGTAATCTTATTTCATGGTTTGAAAAGAATGTGAAATTTATAACGAAACTCCCTATTAACGAAAATGTCAATTAAGAAAGGTTCAACCTTTACGTCGTGAACAACAACTTACAAGTAAAAAAGGTGCATTAATGTCCGATCATATGTTGTTCTTTCGCTTGCCCAGAAATCATTCTAAAACAATTTCCTAAATCAATAAGTGCAGAAAAATTCCAACGGACAAAATTGCGAATGGAATATGGAACCCTGACAAAATTCCTGAAGTTTTATATCTATCCTAACCGAGAACATACGATGAATCCCACTTCATATGCTTATTTTTACAATTTGCCTAATGTTTTATATCTATCCCAACCCAGAACACAATATAAATCCCATTCACACAAAGAACACTTTTCACACGTTTTATTGCAGTATTCTCCGTATAAACAATAATTCTATGTATTTTTAATATCAAATACACAAATAATAATAGGAATAAATGTCGTTTCTTTGTCTCATAAAATATCATTTGGTTTTAAACAGGGTTTGTATTATACTAACCACACAATTGAAAATGTAAACATTAAACATCGCAACAAAGCTATCCTAAAGCAACTAATGTCTATACTAAATATTATTGCATGTAAGGGACACATATATGGCTAAGCATAAGCAAAGAACGTAGATGTTGTCATGAAAAACAAAGACAATTGATCGTATAAGTAAACAGAACAAATATGTTAATTAGTAAATCAAACCCTATATATTTGCCACAAAAATCCATCTGACCCAAATCATGGAATCTAAATATTCTATTGGGCATAAACACTGTAAATATAAAATAATCAGCTTGGTATCATAGACAAAAACGCAAGATTTTAAAAACCATTTTCCCTCTATTTTTCACCGAATACTATAGACTAAAGGTAGTCTTGATTCCACTATGGAAACAATGATATAAATACTGGACGACAAAGTAAAAAAGCATCTCTTTCTTTATGAGTCGTTATGGATACATGGGGCTATACAGTTAATTAATGTCTCCCTAGCAGAGTATTTCATACGCTCTATGAATATAGGTATAAACAAAACGAAAACAAAACAAATGACGCGTCTCAGTCTCGACTATGAGCTGACACCAAATTGAAAAAAATAGCTGCCAACGCCGGTTTAGAAAAATTTCTTTACACTCTTGGAATTTTTTATCGCCACTGAAAGTTCGACCCCCGACTCTGGACAATTCAGATTTTTAACTACGTATCAACACTCCGGGGTGTTAAAAATACATACCCTGAACCGCCTCCAAATCCAATAAAAAAATATACCGGCAATAGCTTCACAGCCTTATTTACAATTCAGTCAATGTCGATTCAAAACGGGAACCTTAGAATTTCCTGGGACTCAACCCTTACTAGAAACTCGCTAGTTTGTAACTAATTTTGTACCTGTCTACTGAAGCAATACCGGCATTAAAGTTTGAAAACGGGTGCTTCAAAATGTGGCCAACACAACGATCTAAGATCTATCTAAAATTCATATGTGTCCAATACAACGCTCAACAAATTACCATCATTTACTGGTACATGTTTGCGCCTTATGGCTCCATTCCGCTTTTCCGTTTGAAGTTTTCTTGCAGATTGTTTTCTCTGATCCCTGGAGCGAGTATCCAACCTTACAAGCGAAATCACAACGAGTTCCGATTATTGCTTTTTCGTTGTTGCATTCAACTTCGCCATTGATTGGTCTTGGTGGATGGTGGGGCTTGCAGGGAGCTAAAATAAGAAAGGTTCGATTAGGAATTACATCTTCACTATTTGTTTCGTATACTACTCCTCCAGACCCTTGAAGTCTTTATCAAAAACACTAATACAAATATATGTAGGCGCAGAAAATTAAATTATTAACGAAGTAAATAACGGTTCTAAGAAAATTCGTCGCATAGGAAAAATCGCCTTATTTAAAAAAAGATTCGTTATTTGAGAGCATACCCTAACCCTATAAACCTCACTGTTTTTATAACAAATACTTGTTTTACAGCAAAATGTTCTTGCGATTTTTCCTACGCAGCGAAATTTCCTGCGACGGGATTTCCTACGGCGAAATTTCCGGACACGGTAAAAACTGCAATGTCAGCAATATTACAGCTTGAGCTCATTTAATTCGTTTAATATCACAACACACTTGGTGTCAACCTTTTGGTGGGGAAGTGTCTCAATCGAACGTCACAGAGGATAGAGGGGATAGAGGAACCGATGTGACATTTATTATATGTGTATTTCATATATATATATTAAGTATAAATTATTATATTAGCACCAATATTATATTCAATAATATAAAAAATCTAGAAAAAAGGGACTTTTGTGTATAGCGTAATTTGTTGACAACACTATGAAGTTAGGAATAAATTAGCAAGCTGACATACTGACACATCTCTTGGCTTCTTGGCTCCATCTTGCACCTCCCTTTCCATCTTCTTCACAGACTGCGTCCTTGGGTCCTTCGAGCTGAGAGTTTGGTTTGCAAACGAAGTCACATTTCGTTCCAATATCTGCGGTATCGCTATCGCAATTTACAGAACCTCCAGTCGGCGGTGGGGATGGGTTAGGATCACATTTGGCTGTGAAAATAAATAATTCATATAAATATAAGTTTGATAAATTTTGATCGTAACAGGGCTGTAGCCAGGGGGTTTTGAGGGTCGAAACTCCAACCCTTTTTTTTATAGCATGAAGCGCTGTCATGACCCTCAAGACCAGGGGTGGGCAACTTCTCTAGTCGACGGGCCGGATGTGGGAAAATGAAGTCCTCGGTGGGCCGAATTATAACATGAATAGTATTCAATATCTTAATCACATATTTATTCGCTAATGCAAGAAAGAATAGTATGAATCGCGTTCAAAGTAAAGTTTAAACGTTACAAAAAATAGAGATCAAAAAACACATAATGAATTTAACATAATGTACTAAAAGTGTAATAATGTACTGATGTACAGTCAGCGGGCCGGTAAAAAACTCGGCCGGGTCCGGCCCGCGGGTCGTATGTTGCCCACCCCTGCTCAAGACTCTTGAAAACCCACGTTTTCTGGTCTCTGGTCGGACCCGGTAGCTGTTTCGGTCTAACTTGAAAATTTCAGACCCACCACAGAACATTCCTGGCTAAGCCTCTGTTGAAAAGATCCGGAATCATTGACTCGACTAGGGTGGGAATCGAGTCACCATTTATCAAGATATTGAAGTCACACAAGTCATCTAAATTATATAACTCTAACTCATCATCAACTCAAGTCATTAATTAACTCAGTTGTTGGTTAGATAGAAGTCTGTGGGATTAGAGCCCCACCTAACATTGGTTTATTCTATAAATCTTCACGCCCCATGCTAGGAACTTCAATAACTTTATTGAATAATCTTTGAGTACTGCTTGAAATCCTGCCAAATTTTATGTTTTGTTTCCATTTAATTATTATTATTCCATGAAGATTTGGACACGAAGATTGCTGGATTACTACATTATTTTGGACCACAATCTATCTAATTCCGAATTGCCGTAAGCTTCCCTTATTTCAAAATAATGTGAAAAAAATACAACTCTGAATGATTGTGTATAATTGTACCCAAAAGTTTCAGTAATCTATGACGTTTTCCACGAAAGCTATGTTTTCCCTAAAATATGTTCCAAGTCTCGACCCTGCATTTCAATCTTATACTTTTCGACATGCAATCTTATACTCACGTGGGGGTGGGGGTGCCGTTGTGGGTGGATCTGTTAATAGAAAAATGCTATTAATTCTGAATTTTTGTGTAACGGTTAGTAATGCAAATGCATTGTTATGTGCAATAATAAAAATATAAAAACAGCAGGCTTCGAAATGGCATTGAAATGTAATTGAATATTTACCAACTAACCATTGCCCAGTGTTGGATATCAGATAGTATTTTGACTTAGCTTTATATGGCGTCAACTTTTGTTATAATTTTATAAATAATGACTTGTTATGAGCTATTGCAGTGATCAAATGTAATAATACAGTTAGAACATTATAATGATAGAAAATTAATAATGTCCATTTCTGAAAACCTGACATGTGCTACTTTGATTCTGTTTCGAAGAATTATTATTGGCTGCTTGAAAGATGGACACAATTTATAAAATAGTGACATTACTGTACTGTACTTACAGTCAAGGCATGAAAATTTACAGATCTTTCCAACGATTCGGCTTCTCAGTTCCTCTTTGAGTGATTCCATTCCTTTGACTTCGATGACGTTATCAGGGTTGCCAGTTATTTCCTCTAGTTGCTTAATGGATAACGGTTCTCCAGGCTGTTTGATTCCAAGTGCGATAATCTTGAAGATATTTAGAAATATTCAATCAGTTGCTATTACTGTTATTGTACCATACTTCAGTACACAATACCTGTTTTCCTAATTAAAATGAAACGCTTCATACTTCGAATCAACGCATCACACTATCCGATTTGGTGTTGAATAAAAGCTATGCTTTCCACCACCTCACTCAGTGTAACAAATTGGGTTGACAACTAGGAAAGATTACTGTTCCTGAATACGGTATCTCTATATTTATCGTTAGACATCAGTAACTACTAAGAATCGCCATGTCATGGTCGGGGCAAAATACGTGATAAGCAACGTCTATATACAACATTATTTTTACCTCGACTTTATGTTTTCTGAGTAATCTTGTTGCTTTCTTGACAGAATCTGTCGCGTCGCCATCTGTTATTACCCAGATCATATCGGGTAATTCAGGTCTGTTGTGGTGTTTCAGCATTGTCGTCCTTGTGTAAGAGAGAGCGGCTCCAAGAGCAGTTTCTGTGGGGTAGAATAATAAAGTGGCTATTTGTTTTAAACAACCGTTATTCTGTTTCACTAAGACTCAAGTGCGCGATGAACTTGTGGTTCAAGAGTTAGGCTTTGCTAATTGACATTATAGGCAAGGTTCCCTCTATAAGGTGCGCAACTGTGCCATTGCGCAGTTTCGCCAGACCATTTGCGCGGTAAAATGCCATATTCGCGATCTTGCGACATAACGTTTTTAAGGGGTGACTCGTCATATTTCTAACTCCTAGATAGCTTGTTAAATGTGAATTTTATTCGCATTCTGATAATATATTATACTATTGTAATATTTCACCAAATTTGTAAACCATCTGAACTCTGCTCAGCCTTAAAATATTCATGCTCACTAAAACAAACATTTGTTCTGTGTAACATTCACTGATCGTAGGTCAAAAATTACGGGTTCAAATTCCAAGCCTAGTATTTTGCCCAGTTGAATCGGTTAGGATTGCGCCACTACATTCCAAAAGATTAGGAAATTTTCATTGGAACCTCTGGTTCACAGCTGGGGTGTACAACCTTTAATTCAGGAAGGGCAGACAGATAACTGGGTGTTGTAGTTCTTAGTAGTTGTAGGCGCAACAATTTTGGTTATTGATTTTATGACATGCGTTGTTTGCACAAACCAGAGGCTAGGGCATTGTAAATTCATAGGCATAGATACTAAATTAGACTCAGTTATAGACTTCGCAGCGCAGGGGGAATGGATTTACTCGCACGTCCCGAATTGAATTAAAAACTCGTTCCACTGTTCACATACCATTTAAAATTGGCACTTCTCCACGGGCCGTACAATTTCTTCCCAAGGGCCGCATCGGCCCCGCGGGCCTCAGGTTTCACACCTCTGTTAAAGTATTGATTATGAACTTACTTCCTCCTGGACCCGGAAGTAGCTCGACCTTTTCCATCATGTCAGATATGCCATACTCTCCAAACAGTATTTTGTTTCTGGTGTCGACATTTGTTGCAAATCGAACTGCCGAGAATTGAACCATGTCGTCTTCAAAAGATCTGGAAATTTTGAAAGAATTTTATTACATATCTCCAAACCAGGCTTAAATGCTTGGGCAATAAATTGTAAAGAACTACCTGATCTATACATCAGAAGTATCGGCTTATAAGACCCACGATCTATTTTTGAGAAATAAAGGATTAAAAGAACTCCTTATGGTCCTTAGAAGATGATGATAATTGACGGACTTCGGTCCCGAATCTCGAATCATTCGAAAATTCGATTCAGTCCGCACCTGATTTTATTTTATTTTGGACTATCGACCTCATTAACTTTGGATATGGGGAAGTTTCCCTATATCAAATGGTTTAATTTATAAAAAAAATTATCATCTTCTCATATTTGCAACTAATTGTATGCGAAAAAAATGTGAATCCATGTTAAACGATGGGAATAAAGTTCATAGCAGTTGCCGCTAGTCAAGGGTCTTGTTCGAAGCGGAGAAAGCGTCTTATGAGAAAATTATCATAACGAACTAACCCAATAACGTTTGATATGAAGTGCTTCATTTTTCCGTAGTCGGTTCTCGAGATTGATCCAGAGGAGTCGACAACAATCACAATATCAGCGACTTTCCTGCACTCTGCAAATATATAAAATAAAAATAAAAAACCTAATATACAGAGGCAGTAGGATATAGTATATTAAACTGAAGAATTTTCTCTTTGTCTACCGTATTCTACGGAACATAAGGCGCACCTGGATGTAAAGCGCATAATCAATGGTACTCATGTAGTATGTGTACCAGATCAGGGTTAGGCCATAATTTTTCCCAATTTTTATTATTATTTCAGTTCTATTACGATTTCGGGACTGTCTGTGTTAGCCGAGTGAATACCCATGGCGGCGCATGTTCACTAAATGACGTAAGTACTTCCATTTGGCGTGGCACAATCATTTTTGCATGTGTTATTCTTAAACCCCACCTGGCCCCGTATCCAAAGACTACGTCACAATCACGTCTAATGGCTTGCCAAAGTATAGCTACGATCGCCCGAAATGGCATCTTCGCCAACGATAACGAACTCACCAACTCCAGTGATCTCTCTCATATCGGAATCGTTACGATAAGAAAACGAGAGATTTCGGATGATCGTCAGCGCGTCTTGGATGATAGTTAGTATAGTTTGAAGGGCCTTTTACGTTACTGTGGCTTCGTTGTGACGTAATTTTTTGACTGACATAATCCAGTGGAGTTAGGAATAGCATAGGCAAAAATGGCTGTGCCACGCCAATTAGAAGTGCTTACTTCGAGTTGTGAAAATTGCACTGGAACCTAAAATAAAATAAATAAACTTGCTTTGACAGCATGGAAATTTCTTGTCCCATTCTCCACTTGGCAAGCATGTAATCATTGCACTCATAGGACGCACAAGTTCGTATTTAGGATCTGTACATCTGAACTCACACGAGGACCCAACAGCGCCATCGTAAGAAGTGCAAGTCACCTCGCCATGAGGGAAAACAGTCATTGGCTCAAAGCAGTCATCCCCTGAAAAAATTTGAATTAGGAGCTAATGGGCTTTTTCTCAACAAATGAAGTTGTCAGATTGATTTCGGGATTAATATCCGTGTTGCCATAAAAAATAAAAGCATAGCAAAATTTTGGATGAATTAGCAGATATCATAAGCTTCAACTTTAGGAACAAATTTCAACAAAAGCCCACTAGCGAAAAAAAAAAATTTAAACCACTGAAAATTTTAAAGCAATTGGTTCATTAGTGAATGAGACCATCTTTTCATAACAAGAAGAAAAAACACTAACAACATAATATAGCAAAACGATCCATGAGCCCACTTCGTGCCTTATTTTGCAAATCAAACTATAATCTAACTTGTGAATAAAGCTATAGTGGTACAAAGTAAGGATGGGATTCAAAAAAGGTATATCCACGAATTTTCAAAAAAGTGGTTGGAAACTCAAATTTGTAATTGCAAAGTTAAAACGTAAAAGCTAGTGAGTCCGGCAGAAAGTCGGAAAACCCGAGTTTTCAGTAATCTTGAGAATCTGAAAGCGTTTCGAGCTACGTAAATTGCTATATACTGTATATGGGCTCTGAACACAAATTCATTTAAATGACTGAAGGGTTGATACAAACCAGTAAAGCGAAACTCGAAAAATTATCTTTTAAAAAACTAGAGAAACTTTTCATTGAAACCTGAAAAGCTTAACGAGCATTTTGTAATATTTTCAGATCATCTTTTTTTCAAAATTCTAAAATTCGCGCTCCTGTCGGTGAATAAAGTACAGTTATTAAGAAAAAATGGTTAAAAGTACCTCCATGTAATGAATGCCTCCTGGGTCACGTTTTGGGATTTAAGTTAAAGCTATTTCGAATCAGGTTTATCAGAAAAGAAGTTGAAATTATCTGGTAATAGAATTTAGAAGCAAATTTTTAACCTCTCATCTAATGAAATATAACTTTTGAGAGCTGTTTAGTATCGCTTCGTTCGAAGCAAATAGTAAAATAATTTCCAAATAATCAGTGTCAAACAAACTATAAAGATACAATAAAAAACTAACCTGCAACCGCCAATGCCAGACCGAGTACTAAAAGAATTTTCATCGTTGATGTTTGTTGATTAGCGACTCTGGTTTTTCAGAATTCCCCACAGAGCGTGATTTTACACGTCCTTGCAAAATATAGACTTTAAAATCAGCGTTTAGAGCGCTACACTCTTCCCTTATTAGCGTGTTATTCACAAACAACTGCGCATCAGGAACTTAATAGCTATAATACCGACGCTTTGGTGTACAATTACGCTCTGTTAGTTCTTAGAATGTATACGAAAAATAATTCCGATTTCTTGAAACTTTGGCCATCGTAGTCTTCGTGAATAGTTACTATTACCATACAGTATAGCATATATGTTTTTAATTATTTTGGGAGATTCTTATCAAAGCCTTTTGCTCCGAAGAAGGCCCTGTACAAGCGGCCAATGATATCATATGAAATGTATGTATAGCACAGTGGTTTTTAATCTTTTTGTTGGAGCGTTACCCCAATGGCCAAGTTCCTATACTTGATCGAACTCTTCGTGACAAGTTACCTTGTGGTATATATTGGTTTTTAAATATTCCATACAACGCCATGTACAGACAGCCACTGATATCTAAGGACATGTATTTAGAGCATATAGGCTTACGACTCTATTCATTCGTGCTTTTCGCTCTATATAAGGCCATGTATAAGCATTCTCTGATATATAACGATATGCAAGTAGAGAATATGAGGTATAAATTTCAATTTTTATACAAAGCTAATTCACGCATATTGCGCCACACCCAGATGCTTTATACGTGTTATGTGTTGTCAAAGCAAATATCCACGTGATATATCCACTGATAAATAATGATATACATAGTAAGCAGCTAGCTACTGTTTTCAGAAGGATCGGTTTGGTTTGGAATTACTCATCTTTGATCCAACAATAATGATATAAAAAGACAATTCGATTGATTTTTTTTTACATTTGTCTAAAAAATATTTGTCGGCAATCAGGACAAATTACAAGGCCTATGCTAGCGTCCATCGGCATGTGAGGGGATACCATGTTTTAGGAATAACGCAGAGGTAAGGGCCTGGAATCTTAACCCAAGTTGTGTAAAGTTAAGTCTGTTCTCCCATTATTTCATTTCGAGATGAAAATTAAATTCTTTGGTAACATGTAACATTTGGCAAAGTTTTCCTAAGTTTTCCTCCGCATGACATTCGGTAAAATTCTTACAAATACTCTGATGACATTCGGTACTTTTCTTCCAATATTTTATATGACATTCAGTAAAATTTTCTTAATTCATGTGACATTCGGTGCAATTATTTCAATTTACATGAAATTCGGTATAATTCTTTATAATTTACATGACATTCGGTATAATTCTTTATAATTTACATGACATTCGGTATAATTCTTTATAATATACATGACATTCGGTATAATTCTTCCAAAATTTTATATGCGTTCGGCACAATTATTAGTCACACGCCCTTTGTGTATATATATTCAGGAATCTATGGCCACTTGAACAGTGCCATGTTAGCGACATAAATAGGCGAAAGACGTGAATAGGCTTGGAATTGAAAGTATAAAAAATGAACTAACAAAAATAAATCAAAGTCGAACTTCACAAACGCGATTCCCAACAATTCTCGTCAAACTGATGCTAAACAATAAACATCCATATAACGCGTTGTTGATTTAAAATATGAAATATTCAAATAATAACTCGTCGGAAATTGTTCGCGTCAGTACACAATACAAATATGGCAACACTTGTTAGGTGAAGAATATCCAATAACAGCGTGTTGCTACAATCATTTAGTTTCTGAAGTTATTTTTTTTCGCAATTATTGTTTAACGATCTCGAACGCCTTTTTAAAAACGGTTGGGCCAAAAGTAGGTTTACAGTTAATGATAAAGACGAATAATTGAGTAACTCTGACCCAACCTTTAGCTTTTTTTGTATACCAGGCGGTACTAACTTCCATATTTGTATCAAGTAAGGAAAGACGATACAACTACTTGATCATGCGGCGAACCATGGCCTTTCAAGTAACTAATTATGCCTGCAATGGTCTAGGTAACTCTTGGCAGGTCGCGCATAGTAATGCTAAGAGATAGATAAGTCTTCATTACGTCTACGTGCTTTGAGTAAATTATCGGGAAAATATGACAACTGTTTTGAAAAAGAATTTTCAAAATTTTTAATCAAAATATGATAAGATGAGTCTTTTCTTAAAATATTTAAGCCTAACGAAAACAACAAGAAGTAACGCAAGTTCGATTTCTATTTTACTGAATATCTTTCACCGAACTTACGCTACTGTTGTTAAAAAAAGTGGAATTGTTATGTTCCAGGTCTTTCCAAACTACAGTAGCTTCCAGTAGCGACCAGTTACCACTTGCACCAGGGCCTTGTTTGGAGTAAAAGTTGTACGTATAAGAACAAGTTCGCAAATTTAGGTTAAATGTTGGAATATCTCACTAGTTTTATTTGCCCCAGTAGTGCAGACTTGCGTCTAGTTGATTTGCGTAACTAATTCATAAATATTCATATTCAATTTTCAATTATTGCTCTTCTCAAAAAGGAATTTTATAAAAATTAAGGAAGAGTGTATTATGGTAGGATATTTTGTAGCACCGGATATTGGAATAAGTTGTTTTGCGATGACGTATGTAATGACGTCATATCATGAGATTTAAACGTAACATAAACAGTTGCCTGGTAGGTAATATATTGTAGTAAAACATTTAAACAGAATTGTATAGATATAAAGACTATCAAACTCGAAACTTGATTTTTGATTTGAATATCCCATTACGCGTCTCCAAATTTATACAAAGTAAGGAAACGTGACAGAATAATATATTGCGTAATGCCGGATATTTGAATATAATGCTACGATATAACGTACATATCACATGACATTTATTAAACATGGCATAAACAGTAAATTCAAATTAATTCAATTTCTTCAAAGTCTGGAGTTTTTATTAATTAAGTTCCTGTATAAACACATATGACATATTTAATAACTTTGCTGTTCAAACGCATACTGCTTTCATTGTCTTCTTGTCTTCTATCAAAATATTCAGTTTTGCCTTTAAGGCGTTTTCATCAGGTAATCATACACAAAGTTTCATATTAAAAAGTGCACAAAAGCAAAGGAATGAAAGCATTGCGGTCAAAGAATTAAACACAGTCATTTTACTTTGAAGTAATATAGTCATTGTAAATGTACTTTATAACTGTGAATGGCCCTTATTAGGGACCCTCAAAACATTTACCCATGGCCCCCTAGACGGTCTGAAGGCTCGGTTTTAAAAACAATATGCCGAGATAACAAAAAAATAACTGGTTTTCGATCACTGATTGAAACCAAAAGTAATGCTAAAAACGTCAAATTGTACGAATTGTATTATCCTCTATCTAAACCAGGGTCGTCCAACCCGTGGCCCGCGGGCCACATGTGGCCCGCATAGGAGTTTGGAGTGGCCCGCGCTGTATTTTCGGAATTAAATTTTAAAAAAATGAGTAAAACTTCTATTTTTCGAGTGATGTAGTTAATATGAAGATTTGATTTGATACAAACAATTTGTTCATTTTCTTGAAATGCGTTCTGCTAGTCCGTTCAAATGAGTCGTGAGTGCCATCACCAACTGGAAGATATCGATACATAAATAGTAGCTTACACACTTGGGCAGAATGGCAGTTTTAATGACCTCATAATTTGGCAGCACGTACTCGTACAATTTTTTTTTACAGATGAACCATGTCAAATCCCCTGTGAGATCATTAATTTCTGACAGTCATATGGAAAATTCGCTTCGCATTGCTACATCGTTCTTTTCAGCGAATATTGACAAACTTGTTAGCGAAGCACAGTGCCAAACTTCACACTAAAATGTCTACGTGTAGAAAAAACTTTGTTGACTTTACTGTATCTTCGTTTTTTTATTGTTCTTATTATTGAGAAAGTTTGGTGCGAGGGTTTTGTTTGTTTTTTCATTAACTTTTGGTCAGTGTAGCGAAACTAGAACATAATTACCATGTTAAGTGGCCCGCGCAATTATTAGTAAACCGAATGTGGCCCGTCGCCCAAAAAGGTTGGCCGACCCTGATCTAAACGATGTGAGGATCGAAAATAGCATATACTTTCAGATAAATCCCCGCCGAAGACAAAAAGCTCAAAATTTGATTAGTCAAAAATAATTGCTAATTGGATTTTTCACAAAAATTCAAATTTAAATTTTTGATAATATTTGTACCGCACGAAATGCGAAGGGGTATGATGCATATGAAACGTAAAAAATTTTAAATATTATTTTTCAACGTTTATATTTTTTGTAGTAGATATCTTTATGTATCTTACTAATCAAATAACTTCAAAAAACTGCATTCAAACGCTGATTTCGAAAGCGAAAAGCGCAATTTTAAACATACATTCTATAATATATACATTCTTAGAATGTTACACCATATCACGCAACTTCGTAGAAAAAAAGCTGGGAAACCGAAAAATGTAATCGAAATTGAATGTGAGTTATATTAACAAGAAAAGAACTCCAGAGATAATATATTGCTATTGAAATTTCAATTTAATTTGGTTTTATTCAGTTTTGTTTAGTCTTCAGAGTAATTTTCGGTTACTGGATGTCTTTCTAATTTACTAATCAGGCTTCGATCATGCCTATGGTTTTAAGTATCAATTTTGTTTAACTACGCGGTGTCTTGGTTTACATATAAGTTATAGTTCTAGTCCATTTACTAACGATTACCTATTTTTTTGCCCACGTATGCTATTAAAATTTAATTTATTTTTATTTATGTTTTATTTCTACTAAGTAGTTCAGATAATTTTCGGTCTCGGCAAATCATTTCAATCTCATTTTGTTCAGCTATCCGGCGTCATGGTTTACACATAATTAGTTCTTATATTTGTCGCTGAACCTTAATCCATTTTCTAAGCGATTACCTTTTTTATAAGCCCAGGTATGCTATTAAAATTTCAGGTTTTATTTTTTTATTTTTTTTTTTATTTGTATTAGGTAGTTTATATAATTTTCGGACTCTGAAAATCATTCCAATCAAATGAAGCTTATTCAAATGCCCAGCATATTGGTTCATACATA